AGACGGACTGCACAAACATATCTACTGTGACATTGAGGTTTAGGGTTTAGGGTTTTTCCGTACCCAAGTGGTACAGACACACTAGACAATAGCGGCTCAATTCTGTGGATCACCATTGATTTCTAATGTAGGGTTTAGAGCTTAGGGTTAGGTTCTATTGTGGCGTTGAGGTTTAGGATTTAGGGTTTTTCTTTACCCAATTGGTACAGATACACTAGACAATAGTGGCTCAATTCTGTGCATCACCATCGATTCTTGATGTAGGGTTTAGAGTTTAGGGTTTAGGTTTGTTCTGTATGCAATTGCTACTGATACACTAGACAATAGTGGCCCAATTTTGTACATCACCATTGATTTCTGATCACAGGGTTTAGAGTTTAGGGTTTAAGGTTGTTTAGTACGGAAGCAATTGATAACGACACACTAGACAATAGTGGTTCAATTGTGTGCATCACCATCGATATCTGATGTGCACACATTGCGAACAACCTCTTCTTGCACCCTAAGATTCACCCTCTCTACTGCAGACCTCGCAGCCGGCCTCGATTAGCTTCTACTGCAGACCTCGCAGGTGGCCTTGAAGGATCATCCTCCAGTGTGATGGCCTCGATGCGTCTAAGAAGCTGAGTCTCATCTCTGTATTTACCTTCAACAACTTCAGGCTCTCCATTGATATCTTCCTGACAAAGTCCTTCACCATTGATGCTTTCTTCAACAATATCCACGCGGAAGTTCGCCACTAGACTTGAGCCCAACGGACGGAGGGAGCTGGCCAGGTCCATTGCTTGAATTGCAATGAGATTGTCAATGATACCTAAGGGTACCATGTCCATGAGCCTTCGCAACTGCCCATGAATGACGAGGAATGCATTTCCGAGGGTTCGTAGTTCTTCGGTGGAGGAGGCTGCCATGCGAAACGTAGAGCTGTTGGGTAATGGCCTGATAAGCGGATCTCGCATCGTCATTCTGATGCTTAGAATGAGGGTCACATTTTCACGCTGATGGCCTGGGTTTTTGAAGTGAAAGACGAACGGATCCCCAGCCAATGAAAAATTAAAAACAGTATTTCTGTGGAAACTAATTGCAAGATTTGAAGAAGTTGCAGTTACACAGAGAAGGGGAGATGAAACTTGCAGTGATGGAGAGGGAGATGAAACAACCTGAAAATAAATAATCGAAAGGTCGTTTCAAACGAGTTTTCAATCTTGAGAAGAGAATACTCTTACCAAAAATTAATAAGTAAATGTAGGAATAAAGCATAGAGACATGATATATATATATATATATATAAAAGTATAACCTCATAAATATGTAATTTAGTGGGCATAATCCTCCTTAAATCAAGATTATTAAAGATGGGGAATAATCCTAATTGGATTACTACATATTTGTGGGGGCCCTCCACCGTCGATCTCGATCACAAATGTTGTAGATAAACCATTGCATTAATGGTCAAATGACATTCAATTGAAACTGCAGTTCATATCCACCATCCATGTTTGATGATGGATGGTGATTTGAGTGGAGCTCTAAGAGAATAGAGAGTGCAGTCAAAGAAATCGCTCACATGGAAATTAAATAACAAAATAAAATAAAAATAGAATTTAGACAAACACAAAAGCTAAGAATTAGCAAACCACCATAACTGAAGAATTAACTAAAGAAGGAATTGCTCTCAAGAATGAAAAATATAACTGATGTGTAGAAAGAAGAAGATTGAATAATCAAACAAAATAAATCAAAGAAATAAAGAAATCTGAACTTGTAAATACATGACTTGAGAGAGACAAGAAAGACACTTTAAAACAAAAATAAATTGAATAAAAAAAACATACAACGCTAAAGTAGAACATTCAAAATTGATTAAACAGTAGTAGTAGTAATAATAATAATAATAATAATAATAATAATAATAATAATAATAATAATAATAATAATAATAATAATAATAATAATAATAATAATAAAGTAGTTATTTTTATTGTATTGTAGTTAAAGATGACGAACTATTAAGA